CTGCTCCCATTGACTTCGATAGCAGGCTTGTCTGAAAAGTTGACGGCAAGATATGGCTCCCTGTGTTCAGTATAAATCTAGAACAACTCCGCTGAATTACTCCAGACATACACGAGTGTAACTAAAAGTAAAAGGTGATCTATATGAAAACCCGATCTTGCTCTTTACCCAATATACACGCTACAGAAATAACCAAGCGTATAAGGATAACTACAACAGCATGGTTTACTGTGGCTCAGGTTTTAAGAGAAACTTCTTCACACAGGCGGACGTAGAGAGTGCTGGACTAGCCCACCCCAACCGAGGAATGGGAACCTCTTCAATGCTCAGCTCTCGCAAAGCCACTGTGCTCAGGAAACTGCAGAGATGGGAGAGCAAGCGTTGGTGTAACGGAGATGGAGCAGGGAAAGTCCACAATGGTCAGCTGTCCTCGAACTCCTTCCATCCCCCGGGATAAGTGACCATCTGGAGCACTAATTTGCACCATAACTGGGGGGAGTTGGGACCCATCCTGGGAGCAGCGGCTAACCACTGGCAGAGGGGAATGTTGGGGATCTGTCCTGGTTGCTTAGCAATATGCACAGAGGCAGGCAGTATAAAAAGAAGTGGGACTGGCTTCCCCAAGGATCCCGCGGGTGTTTTTCATAGAGCATATCTGCTCTGGCCCTTTAACACTTCATCCCTTTCAGCAAACAAGAGGTATGCCTAGAATGACTACTGCACACTTGTCACAGCAGTAAAAAGTCCCACTCCAAGGGTTGCCCATGTTTGTTTCTCTGGGTATTACCTAGTAGGAATAATTGTGAGGAGCATATTGCAAAGAGGTCACATGGGGTCATCCCCCACTGCAGCTGAGGGCACTGTCAACGTACCACAAATACAGAATGTAGCAAGGCCGGGGACAGGACCTGACCCATGGCTTCTCCCCAACTAGTAATTCAATGGGCCAAATTCTGCTCTCAATTACACCAACATAAATGTAGAGTGATTCCGCAGATCTCACAGAGAGCAGGAATCTGATCCGCTGACTTCACCATGACTCACATGTGCACATCTGAGCCCAGAATCCGGCCCCGTGGGCCTGATCCTCCATTGCACAGCATCTCATGCAGCCATGCACACCAGTGCAAAGTAGGTATCCTGCCCCACCTAGTTAGCATGGTGTAAGTGACTGCACAAAGCACTGTGCAACAGTGAATCAAGCCCTGGTTTTCTAATGTGCAATGAGCTGCTGTACAGAGACTCCCCTGCAAAACAGGTGAGATGTGCCCATTTCAGATACAAGTAAGGAGCAATCCAGAAGAACCATTGATAGAATGGCAGCCTTTCCATGAAATTAGTTAAATTCCTCTCCCTCAGTTCCACCCTGCTCTGTATCTTTATTTAGGGCCTGATTCTTCCACCTCTACTCAGGTACTGTATTCCAGAAGCAATATCGACAAAACCGCCTGAGTAACAATGCTTAAAGAACCACTCACACGAGGGACACAACCAAGCCCCTCGATGGATCGTGCTTGACTTGTACCAGACAGAGCCTGCAGAGATCATTCTGCAATACATATCTATTTCTAAAGGTGTGGGGGAGGAGTTAAAGGGATGAAAACCTCCACTGCTGAAGAAAGACGAGATGTCAGAGCACTCACCGTTCGTGGACGACGTTAAGCACTGAAAGGAACTCGGGGCCACTAGAACGCTGCAGTTCTGCCAAAGGTCTGCCGTACGCCCATTAACGTTGAGCCATTGCTGAAGGAGAAGCACAAATCTGTGAGAGGCGGCAGCAGCAAAGGCCCGGGGGGAGGCAGAGCAGAGTTACCAAAGTAAAAGATAAAATTGTGCTCAACTAAATGCACTTGCAAAGGATCCGACATAATCATGCATGTTCATTCTTGTTGTCTTTTGCATTCTTACCGTTGCTTTGGTTATCTCTGTCTCATGTCTTTATTTCAATCTGTGCACATGCATTACATTTACACACACACACACACACACACACACCCACCCCTATTTCAATTGAGTTTGGAAAGAAAACGTTCTGCGTTGTTCTTTACTTGTTCTAGACTCAACTGCTTAAAAGAGGAGACTTTTGTTATTCTCTTTAAATATGTGCCAAAGCTCTCAAACACTTCACTCCTCTCCAGCGTTTTCTTGGCAGCATGGAAAGCTACAGTAACTGCTCCATATGAATCCCAACCAGTTTAGAGATTATTTTAGAAGTAGTTTTTTAAGGTCTTTTTAAAAAGCCCTTTGAAAGCTAGTCTGGAAGTGACTAGCTCTGCATTAAAAAAAAGCCAAAAACCCACAAACATGTCTGCCTAGATTGGCCATGTTAATTAATACAGGGCCTCTGAAAGCATTAAGGTCTGGTATTGGAGGCGTACCCTTTAATTTCACAAGATCTGGCCCTTGGTTTCATCTACATGGACAAATCTTACACATGGAACTCTGCAATGGATTCTGATCTACTTTAAGGTAAGGTCCCCACTGCCGCGCTAAACTAAAATTAACCCACATGCAGCTCTCGGCACTAACCAAGAGGATGGCTTGATGTGCAAAGTCCTCAATTACGGAGATCGTGACTTCTGATTGCTAAAGAACTTCAGGCTGAAACCAGAGGATTCCTACAGAAAACACTCGGAAGGGTGACGCTCAGCGATAAATATCCTCTTCTCTATCCCCGCACTCCCCAACCCACAGGCGACACTCACAACCCCCAGGTTCCCATATGGGGATCGGAAGGATAAAGTTTGTACTTACGCTAACGATTGTTGAGACAAAAAGCAGCACCAGAACCGCCACATGGAGCACGATGATCCCCAGCAACAAAAGGAGCATTTTGGCTGAAGTTTTGGAAAGATCTGAAGGGGGGAAAAAAAGAGACACGCTTTTAAGTGACAGCAAAATCCCTT